AAAAGCCAAACAGAGGATTTTATATTTGATCCTCTAGATGACAGGGAGCTACTGGAATAGGAGGGTGATGTGGTCACATCTATACTGTAAGAAGATCAGTTCGACTGTTAAGTAGAGGATAGAGCAGGGAGAGACGTGTGGCAGACAGACCCACAGGCAGTCTATTGTAATAGTCAAGGTGTGGGGTAATGACACCAGTGTGGTGGCAGTATCAGAGGAGAAGAGGGGACATTATGAGACATATTACAAAGGTAAAATTGATAGAACTCATTAACAAATTGGATGTAGGGGTTAAGAGAGGGAGGAGTCTAGGATGACACTCAGGTTGAAAGCCTAGGAGACTGGAAGAAAGACAGTACCCTCAACAGCCATTGAGAAATTTGGACGAAGGAGAGGTTTTTGGGGAAAAGATAATGAGTTCAGTTTTATGCGTGTTAAGTTTAAGATGTCCAGTTCTAAAAGATCCAGCACATGAGACACTTTGTTGACCTTTTGTTTTTGTATCACCTACATTTCCCAATGTATTCCTGCTCCTTCCAGAGAGCAATCCTTTGTAATAAAGAATAAGAGGGGAAAAAATCAGCAAAACTATCCAACACATTGAAATCATCTGCCACTATACACAGTATTCCACACCTGTAGTCCTCCACCTCTGCAAAAGGTTTGAAGGGAGGTGCCTTCTCATATATCTTTGAGGCCAAGCTTGGTCATAATTTCACAGCACTAAATTTTGATTCTTCTGTTGTTTCCATTTACATTATTGTCACTGTATGAATTGTTTTCCTGGTTTTATTTCGCTTTACTTCTATTCAAGTCCTCTCATTCTTACCTATGTTCTTCTTATTCCTAGTTTCTAATAGTGCAGTAATATTACATTACATTCTAATACAAATGTCTATTATCAATCTATTTAGTTGCTCTCTCTCTCCCTCCCTCCTCCTTCTTCTTCTCTCTCTCTTTCTCTCTCTCTGCTTCTCTCCCTTCCCCTCCCCTTCTATCTGCTTACCTGGGTACCTCTATGGCTTCGAATGGTGCCTAGCAAATAGTAAGTGCTTAATAAATGCTTGTTGCCTGACTGAAGATAGCTTAGTTTCATTCACTTCTTCCTTTCCAAAGGAAATGGGATCCTAATATAGTCAGCACCTCCTTCTGAGTGTTTGGGAAGAACACACAGAATCTTCTCTTTCTTTGAAGGAAAGGCTCGGAGGAAATACCCGAGGCACTGAGGAAATGCTAATCCTCCCATCAGCAGTTTTCCACACATCTATGTGAGACAGTTAGGGAAAAAACTCAGCACCTCTTCCTATGATTTAGACTTTTTAAACTCTGTACAATGCACCATTTCCTGTGGTTGAGAAGAGTCCCCTGTCTTGCCACAGCTGTACTCTCTGTGGAAAAAACTTTCTGGGGACTGAACAGGGGGGAAATTAGAGGGGAAAGCTGGCAGAAACAGGATTAGGGGCTACCTCACAGAAGGATGATTCAGTGGACAGGCCCTAGTATCCTGGGGGAAAGCCCTCCAGGGTTCTCTGTAAGCACTCCCATGCATAGGAAATTTTCCAGGAAAAGGTTCCCTGGACTGAAGCATATGAAGGTCCCAGAGCCCTGCAGCTCAACATGTACTAAGGAAAAAAGCCAGTAAGGGAGTGAAAGCCATGAAGGAATTTAAAATAGGAAGTAGGGCAAAGGGGGAACTAAAAAGAGCTCAGATAAACCTTTAAGACAGCCAGTAAGTATGTACTGGGTACTTCCTATCCCCTCTTACCTAGTTATACTTGCATAACTGTTTTTTCTTCTTGTTTTTTATTGAGCTTTGTTTTTGCATCATGGTCAATAGCTAATGTCTTCCTATACTTCTCTGAGTTCTTCATATTTATCATTTCTTAGAGGATTTTAATATTCCATTCATTCACGAGCCACATGTTTAATCATTCCCCAATAGATGGATATTGACTATGTTTCCAGTACTTTTTTGTGCTCTTCCCCTCCCCCATACTGTTGCTATGAATATTTTGGTGTACACCATACCAATTTATTTGAGCATCCTTTCTTTGAATTCCTTGGGGAAATTCAAAGAGTATGAACATCATTGCCACTTTTTCAGCATGGTTCCAAATTGCTTTCCAGGGGCACCAATTCACAGCTCCATAAATGGTGCTATCACTGTACCCATATTTCCATAAGCCTTCTAACTGGCTGTTTCCATTTTAACTCCTATTTCACTAGACTCCCCTGAAGAGATTGTAGAAGTGGTCACTGTATCTTTTAGAACCAAATGGATTATTGGGTAGGTGGGGTGGGAAGTATTTGGGAATGGCCATTTGGTTTTACAATTGCAACTGTCATTCTTTGAGGTCTTTCTATGAAATGTGAGTGTGTGTGTGTGTGTGTTTGATCTATGAGACTCCGTAAGACAAAATATAGAGAAGACAGAAAATCTTTCTTGTGAGAATCAATAAATTAACATTGATTATATCCAGTGCCAGGCACTGGACAAAAGCGAAACTGTTATTTTGTGATCATTAGAAGATAATTCTGTGAAGAGATTGTGAGGAATTGACAATTTATAGTACATTCTGGAGCGATTTACCTATGATGGTTGCTTAGAGGAGAAAGAAAAAGGACTAACTTAGTTCTTGGCTGAATTTAACTCTTACCTTGAGGACAAATATGAAGAGGATTCTTGAGAGACATGCTGATATCATGAGTGAATTGAATAGTGGGACTGTGTTTTCATAAATAAACTTCATGTGTCATTATAGGAAGGGTTTGAGGTGACTCTAGCTGTGATCTTTCAAACAGCTAAAATACTGTGAATAATTGTGACTTTGTTTTATTATTGACTTACTTTGTTAATAAATTACATGCTCAGTACTGTTAATATCTAATCATAGAAGATTAAAGGACTTACAATAAAGATGAGTAATTACTATTGGAAAAGGAGATTTCTCCAGCTTGTTAAATAACATTTAACGAAAATATTGTTATATGGAATGGCTCTTTTGTAGGTAGGAAAAACAAAGGATGTCAATAAACACTTATTTTAAAAAATAGTATTTAATAAACTGGGGTAGGGATGATAGCTAAGACATAATTCTATTACTTAATAAGAAAATATACAAACAATTCTGAATTATTCTAGAGCTCAAGATAAGATTAAGAGAATGAGAATAAGTCAAGCAGCAGACTGAAGGGTGACCTGTAAATGAGGGTGGTCAATTTGCTGCAGAAAAGAATGACAGTTGCAACTGTAAAACCAAAGTGCCAGTCCCATCTGCTCTCTCTCCACCTGCTATTTCATTTGTCTCTTAAAGATACAGTGTCAGCTATCTGTAGCCTCTGAGGGAGATCCCAGTAGAACAGGTGTTACACCACCTTTTGTCATCTTTGCTAGATGTATGGATACACTTCAGAGTTGTGCTGATATGTGTTTTTCTCAGTACTGTTCAGGAGTAATCTTTCATACTGTAGTATTCAATTCTTTGGAGAATTGTTCATTCATATCTTTTAGCCACTTATACATTGGGGAAAGACTCTTGGTCTCATTTGTGTTAATTCACTATCTATCTTAGGTATCAGAGATATCTGATGCAAATATTTGTTCCTAATTAAATTATTCTGGTCTTATCATAATTGAATTGATTTTACGTCAAAGCTTTTTAATTTTATGTAATCAGAATTGTCTATTTTATCTTTTGTGATGACCCCTATCCCTTATTTGGTTAAGAATATTCCCCCTGGTAAAGTACCCGATCTCTTTCTCTTCTAATTTTTTACAGTGTGACCTTTTAATTTCAGATCCCTATCCATTTTGACAACTTATTATTTTCGTAGAAGGATAAACCCAACATACACTTGCAGAACAATTACTAGGTGCTTAGCCCTACACTAATGAAATGATACATTAAGATACAGTTCTGCCTTCTAGGAACTTACCGATATCTACTCAAGGGAGATAAGACATACATCTGCAAAACTGAAACAAAGAGAGGACTAGAGGCAAGGTCACTTTTTAATGATTTTAAGTGGACACTGGCCTGGGAACTAGGACACCAGCACTCTGACCCTGGCTCATTAGTTTTATGATCTTGGATGCTTCCCTTATTTGGGTGCTTCCCTGTAAAATGAAGGGGGGTGAACCTAGATAATCCCTAAGCTCCCATCTAGTCTATGATTCCCTGGCTTTCTCATGGGAATTGCAAGAAGGGGCATTCTCACAAATTAAAAACAAAAAAACCAACAAGACAAAAACTCTCCAAATTGATGCAAGACGATAGAAGGCACTGAGACCTGTGGAGGAAGGAAGTGTGGAAAGTGGGAAAGGAAGTCTCTCCTCTGAGCTCTTGTAGTTTTATCTTGTATTGTTCATTTGCAAACTAGCATACATTAATGCATATTTGTGACTATCATACATTCATTGAATAATGGCACTTAAATCTTGAAGGAACTGCAGAGCATCTTGTCACACAATCCCAGACTCTGAGAACTGGAAGGAATCTCACATCATCTAATCTAACCATTACCTAAATAAGTGTCCCTCCTATGAGAGTTTTATTAATGACCTTCAGTGAAAGGGGGCACTCTTCCTCCTGAGGCAGTCCATCTCACTTTTCCATACAATAATTCCATTACCATAATTGTTAGGAAGTTTGTTCTCCCATCCAGCCTAAATTGGCTTGTACTGTTGGAGTTTTTTGTTTTTGTTTTTGTTTTTTGCAAAGATATTGGAGTGGTTTGCCATTTTCTTCTCCAGCTCATTTTACAGATGAGGAAACGGAGGCAAATAGAGTGAAATGACTTGCCCAGGGTCACATAGCTAGTAAGTGTCTCAAGCCAGATCTGAATTTAGGAAGATGAATTTTCCTGACTCCAGGCCCAGAACTCTGTCTACTGTGTCACATAGCAGCCCTGCCTGTAATTTATGAGATGCTTAATAAATACTTGACTTGAAACTCTGAGTGAAGCACAATCTCTTTTCAAAACAATATGCCTTCAAATACCTGAAGACAATAATCATGCCTTCTCTGAATCTCTTCACCTCTTGGCTAAACATTCCCAGTTTCAGTGGATCGTATTATGTATGGGTTTGAAGCTCTTCACCATCCTGGATGCTTACTTCTGGGGCTCTCTGGATTGTCAACATCCTTCCTCAAATGTGACCCCTAGAACTGAACAGAATATTTTAGATGTGGTCTAATCAGGGCAGAAGTATAGCATGATTGTCACTTCCTAGCCCAACCCTCTCATTTTACAGATGAGGGAACTGAGACCCAGAAATGGAAAGTTTCTTGACTAAGGTCAAAGGTGATTTGTCCCAGTTGGTCCTAGAACTCAAGTCCTCTGATCCCAAGTCCTAAGTCCTGATCCAAATCCGGTACTACTGCTGTTACTTTATAGTCACAGACCTTTTATTTTTTAGTTAAATTTTTTGAAAAAAATTTCAAAGATTCAGCAAGCATGAAAAGCTAAATCCCCTGTTACAAACATGTATAGGCAAGCAAAACAAATTCCCACGTTTGCCTTGTCCAAAAAGATGTCTTCATTTGCACTCTGAGTCCATCACCTCATAGAATCATAGACCTTACTAGAGAGGGGAAGTTACCTGGAACTTGAAACCAGGTATTACTTTTGCTCATTCCACTACTAACAGATCCTGTCTTTTAAACTGAGGGTGTTGGAATATATGACAAGAAATACTTTGATTTGGTCAAAAGAGCACTTGGATATGTATGTGGTCAAATGATCTGGGTTTGAATTTCAGTAATTTACTTACGGGTTGTATGACATTGGGCAGGTCACTTCCCCTACTTCGAGTTTCAGTTTCTTCTCTAAAATGGCCTAGCTGATCTCCAAGGGCCTTCCAGTTCTAAATGCTGGGAGGCAGAGTTGGGGAGACAAAGGGAGACGCCGGACCCCAGACCTCAAGAGTTCCCAGGCTGGTGGGAAGCGTACGTAGACTCAGACCCCCGGGAGAGCGCAGCTAGCGGGGACAGCTGCCCTGGCCGAGCTCGCCTTCCTTCTGTGTCTGCGCAGGAACACACTGAGCTGGCCTAAGCAACCACCCTACCCCTCTGGTCCCTGCCCCGGAAAAACGGCGAAGGGTAGGCCAGGCTCCGGCGCAGGAGGAAAAGTCCCAGGGAATGCTCGGGGAGAGCCCCAGCAGGAAATTCCCGTTGGCGTGTGCTCTCCCCGCCCCGCGCTGCCTGGGCCCTCCCCAGCCTCCTCCCCCTTCGGGCTTGCCTAGTCCCAGCCCCAACTTCCTAGAAGCTGCTTAAAAGCATCTTGAGGTCCAGGCCCCCGCCCCTCTTCTGAGCCCCCCCAGAAGCTCCCACCCCGGCCGTAGCTCCGGGCCAGCGGGGCTCCCATCTGACCCTAAACTCACCTCCTCAGCCCTCTGAAGGTCTTTAGCCCCGGGAGCTCCCTTTGGGGCTGCTGAACCCCGAACCTCCAGCGGACACTGATGCAGCTCCCTGCCGAGCCCCTGAACCCGCAGCTCCTCCTTGGCCTCCTGCAAGGACTCTGAGCCCGGCTCTCTGCAAGGACTCTATCCCAGAGAGCCTCCTTGGCCTTCGCGGCTCCTGAGCCCGGAGCCCCTTCTTCGCCTTCTGCGGAGCCTAAGCGGGGCTCCCTGCAAGATCTTTCACCCCGGAGTCTCCAGGGGAGCCCGAGCCGGGCTTCCTGCAAAGACTTTCATCCCAGAGCCCCTCCCTTGCCTCCTGCAAGGACCCTGAGCCAGGCTTCCTGCAAAGACTCTCATCCCGGAGCCTCTGCAAGGACTCTCATTGCGGAGCCTCTGCAAGGACTCTCATCGCGGAGCCTCCGCTTGGCCTCCTGCCGGGATTCCGGGCCCAGAGCTTCCTCCTGGCCTCCCGCGGGGTCCGAGTCCGGCCCCCTGCAGGGACTGTCAGCCCGCAGCCGCCTCTTGGCCTCCAGTGGACTCCAGGGCCGGGGCCTCTCCTGGGCTCCGAGCTCAGGCCGGCTCCCTGCCGCCATGGCGTCCCTCCGCACGGAAGATTCCGGGGCCAGCGCGAAGGGCTCCCGGCCCGGGTCCGGAGTGGGGGAGGCGCCCCCGGCCGAGAAGCTGGAGGAGGCGGTGGAGCGGCTGCAGCGCGAGAACCGGAGGCTGCGGGAGCAGGCTCCGCGTGCAGCCGCGCTCTGCGGCCTCTACCACGAGGCCGTGCAGCAGCTGAGCTTCCTGCGGGGCCAGCTGGCCTCCCGAGACGCCCTGGTGGCACGCCTACGGGCCAGTCTGGCCGCTTACGAAAGCTCCGGGTCCGAAGTGGGGCCCGGGCCCGCGCCGTCCCTCGTGGACGGGCTGGTGGAGCAGGTGGCCCGCCTCAAGGAGCAGCTCCGAGAGCAGGAGAGCAGCGCTCGCACCCGGGAGGACAGACTGGGGCAGGTAAGAAGGCTCCCACCCTAACTCCCCCTCCCCCACCCCGCCCTGGTCCCCACCCTCCCTGCCCCCAACTCTGTCCAACTTTCCCGGGACGGCTGAGAGCCACAGCTCACTGATGGGGAACCATTAGAGCTGGCCCAGAGTACGGTGCTCGTTCATTGACTGGGTGGGTTGCCTCCTAAGGTAGTAAGTTCTCCATCACTGGAGGTGTTCAAGAAGGGGCTGATATACTTGTTAGGAATGCCACAGAGGAGATTCCTGCTTACATACGGGTTGGACTAGATGCCCTCTGAGATTCTGTGGTTCTATACGGGCAGTTCACACAGTGCCAAGGTGGAAGGAACCACTAAAGTGGGGCAGGTAGAGAGCTCCCCATTGCCAGAGGTGTTCTGCTTTAAGTAGGGGACTTTGTGGAAGGGTTTCCTGTTCAGGTTTTTGTTGGACCATCTTTGGTGCCTTCAAGATCTATATTTGCTGAGACTGTCATAGTTGAACCCTGTAGGTAGATCAAGTAACCCAACACCTTCATTTTATAGGGGAGGAAACTGAGGCCAGATCGATCAACAAGCATTTATTCAACCAAGACTTTGTACTCAGCACTGGACTAAGGCCAGAGAAGTTAACTGATGTCATCTCTTAATAAGTTTAGTGGCAGATTCCCAGACCACTTTGCACACTTTGTTATCAACACAGGCTCTAGTTTTTCCAGTGCTAAAAAAATTTTTTTTAATTAAATAACCACCACCACAACAACAATAAAAATGTTGAACTACTAGCTAGCTGTGTGACCCTGGACAAATCACTTAACTTTTCCGTGTCTTAGTTTCCTCATATATAAAATAAGTAGGTTAACTTGTTGACCTTTGAGATGTCTTCCAGCAACAAATCTATATTCCTATGACTAGTCTTTTCCAGAAAAAAAAATCCTGATTGCATTGAAACAGTAAAGCAACAATAAAAGCAAACATTGGAATTTGAAGTGTGTATCCCTGGTATTATCAGTAGTAGAAAGATCTTGACACCCCTTTTGTGTTTCAGCCCTGTATTGCTGGAATTGCTAGTAAATTCAGTTCCAAGTTAATTGCCTGGGTGCTCCTCTTGGGTTCCCCATCTGTTAAGTGAGGGTGTAGGACCAGGCTAGATAACCTCCAAGGTTTCTCCCTGCTCTACAAAGGACTTTAGGCCATTGAATGTTTTCGTTGGGAGGCACCTTGGAGATTATCTAGTCTGGTTCAACCCCTTCATTTAGCAGATGGGGAAACCCAAGGCACATAGAGCTGACTCAGTTGTGTTCACTAGAGATGTCGATCCAAGGGTGCTATGCTGCCTATTGGACGGTTCTTATCATTCACCTTCACTTTCCCCCCAAATATAAGGAGGCACAATGAGATTTACAGAACCTTGATGCTTATTCCATCACTTATTTGTTTTCTAGGAAACTGTGAAGTCCCCTGCAGGCTGAAGTGGGAGGTTAAGATGTTTAGTATTAAGAATTGAGTTTGGCCACCAAGCTCCTGTTTAGTGCCTCAAATTGCCCTGGGGCAGGTCTTTTCCATCGTTTTGTGCCCCTTCCCCACATTCCCAACCAAAAGAAAATTTGAGTTACTGAGGGAGATTTGACTTAAGACCAGAGTAATGTAAAGAAGAAGGACTCAAGTTTGTCACCAAAAGTTTTAAAAAGACAATCTTTCCAAAACAAAAGTCCTGAACTGGGATGTTAAAGGGCCAAGACTCTTTTTTTTTATTTTTGTAAGCTTTCTTGATGCTTTGAAAATCACTGACTTCCCAATATTCCCTACTCCCATAAAACGTATTTTGTAACACAGTAGTATAGTTGAGCAAAAGAGATTGACACATTGACCATGTCTCAGAGCCTGCGGTTCATTCTGCACCTGCAGTTCACCACCTTGCTACCAATACGAGGGAGATAGGTTTTTAGCATCAGTCCTCTGGAATAAAAATTGGCCATTGTCCAAGATCCAAGATCTTATGAGACCCAGGTCTCTAGTCTGGACTATGCCTCTAACAGCTGTATGACCTTTGGCCAAGTCATGTCCATTCTCTGGTCCTCATTTTCCTGTCTGAGATCCTTTCTAACTCTTGTATCCCTTGATTTTCTTTGATTCCCTAATGAATGGGGTAAATTTTGACACTTCTGAGAGGATTGATCTCCATGATTTCTGGTTTTCATTGAATTGTCTTAAGCAGGCACTCAAGCTTGAAACAATGAAGAAAAATTATGATCCTTCTTCAGTCCTCCAAGGATCTGTAATTTTGTCAATATGAGTGCTCTCCCAGCATTTTCTGGATTCTTTACTCTCCCTCATCCTGTAAAAAATGCAGTGAGTTGCCAAATCTTGCTTTCTTCCATCACAACATCCCTGGCGTGTGACTTTTCAATTCACTCATACAACTACCACTTGAGTTCAAGTCCTCATCACTTACCACTTAGATTATTGCCACAGCCTTTTAATTGATCTCCTTTCTTCAAGTCCATTCTACCCCTGGCTGCCAAGGATTTTCCCTAAGGGCACATCTGGCCATATGCCTCCCTAGCTCAACCCACTCTGGTGGCTTCCAAATGGCTCCAGGACAAAAAGATAACTCCTCTGTTTAGCATTTAAAGTCTTACACAACCTGGTCCCAGCCTATCTTTCTTTGGCCCTCTGCAATCCAGCCAAACTGGTCTTCTCTCTCCTCCAGACACAAGGTGCTGCATGTCTTATCTGGGTATCTCCGTCCTGTCTGCCTCCCATACCTGGAATGTACTGCCTCCTTACGTCTGCCTCATGGAGTCTTTTAGGATGTAGCCTAGGCATTATCTTTTTCCTATCAAGCCTTTCTTGTTTCTCCCAACTGCTAGCACCTTCCTTCCCAAACTATCTTTACTGAACTATTTTGTAATTTCGTATTTATTAGCTTTATTTTTGTTCAGTTATTTTTCAGTCATGACTGACTCTGTGACACCTTTTGGGATTTTCTTGGCAAAGATACTAGAGTGGCTTGCTGTTTCCTTCTCTAGCTTATTTTACAGATGAGGAAATTGAGGCAAACAGGGTGAAATAACTTGTCCAGTAGTGTGTGAAGCCAGATTTGAACTATGGAAGAGGAGTCTTCTTGATTCCAGGCTCAGCACTCTATCCACTGAGCCACCCAGCTGCCTATTAGCTTTATAGATGTGGTATATATATGTACTGGTTACCTCCCCCACTACAATGTACACTTCTTGCCAGGAAAAATTGTTTCATTCCTTGTACTTGTATCCCTAAGTGCCTGACACGTGCTTAATGTGTTACTAGCTGTGTGACCCTGGGCAAATAATTCAATCCTGTTTGCCTCAGTTCCTCATCTATAAAAATGAACTAGAGAAGGAAATGGCAAACCACTCTAGTATCTTTGCCAAGAAAATCCCAAATGGGATCACAAGGAGTTGGACACGTTTGAAACAACTGAATAACATGTACTCATTGATTGAATGATGCTGATCCCTATCCAAATCCTAGAAAGCTGCCTTGGCTGAAAAATTCATCCTTCTCCCCTCCATACTCCCTTCCTAACAGCAGCCAATCTGTCGATGAGTTAGACCAGTCCTTAAACAGAAAGACAAACAGGTAGTCACCAAGCAGGTCTCCCACCTTTGTGGGACCTACCAGTGTCAAGCTCCTTAAAGTTAGCTCCTCAGCTTGATGAGGCTTTGAGTGCAGGAGTGTATAATGAACATAACACTTGGATTTTGTGTAGTGCTTAATGCAGTGTGCTTTTATATCTGTTAGCTTCATTTGATCCTCAAAACAGTCCTATGGGACAGATCTTCCATTTTATTACATGAAGGTACTGAGTCCAGATAAGGTTGAATCATTTTCCCACAATGAAATGGCAAATTAATAGTGTTGCTAGTTCAGAGAAATCTTTGAACTGGAAGGTGACCTTCTACATCAGGGGTTCTTTAGCTCTTTTGTGTCATAGTTCCCTCTGGCTGTCTGGTGAAGCCCATGGACCCCTTCTTAGAATCATGTTTTTAAATGAATAAAATAAAATATGTAGGATTACAAAGGAAAACAATCATATTGAAATAATGTCAATGTGTGTGTGTGTGTGTGTATGTATATATATATATATATATATATATATATATATATATATATATATATATATATATATATATATATGTTAAAACCTCCCATACTCCACATTAAGAAGAACTCCTGCCCTGCACCATATAGGCCAGCCCCTCAACCCATCAACCCACACAGGCGGAATCCCCTCTCTTGCCTCCCTGGTAGGTGTTCTGTCAATCTTTCCTCCTGTGCACTTTCCAC